GGATGTATTGAAGAGGCAACTAGATATAAGAAAATCACAAATGGAAAAGCTCACAAGTAAAGGCAAACATAAAGTAACTATAAGACATCATCATACAAATGTGATATCAAAACCAGCAATAATTATGAGAAGAGGAGTACATAAATGCAGGGAATGGAAATGTATTTGAAATTAAGAAGCCAACCACTTAAAATAACTTTGTACATATATAGATTGCTATATAAAATCCTCAAGGCAGTGGGACTTCCCTGGTGCTTCAGTGGTCCAGAAGAATCTGCCTTGCAATTCAGGGGACACCAGTTCCACCCCTGGTCAAGGAAGACCCCACATGCCATGGAGCAACAAAGCCCATGACCACAACTACTGAGGACTTCCCTGGTGGCCCAATTGGTAAAGAATCTGCCTACAATGCAGGAAATCTGGGTTCGATCCCAGGATTGGGAAGATCCTCTGGAGAAAGAAATGGCAACCCAGTGCAGTATTCTGGCCTGGAGAATCCCTTGGACTGTACAGTCCATGAGACCACCAAGAGTCACACACGACTGAGCTATGTTCACACATGCAACTATTGAACCTATGTTCTGGAGTCCATGAGCCTCAACTACTAAGCCTACGGGCTGAAACTGCTGGAGCTTGGGCACTCAGAGCCTCTGCTCCACAGCAAAGAAAGCCACCACGAGTAGAAGCCTGTGTACAGTGACAGATAGCAGCCTTCACTCAGCACAGGTAGTGAAAGCCCACATGCGGCAATGAAGATCCACCACAGCCAGGGGAATAAAATATATATATATATATATATATATATATATATATATATATATATATATATATATATATATATATATATCCACTGTTACTAGAGACAAGGAAAAATAATTACCTGGTGGTCCAGTAGCTAAGACTCTGTGCTCCCAATGCAGGGGGCCTGGGTTTGATTCCTGATCAGGAAACTAGATCCTGCATGCCACAACTGTTTGCATGCCACAACTGAGGATCCTGCATGCTGCAAATAAGACCTGGCATTGCCAAATAAATAAATAATATTAAGAGACAAGGAAGGACAGTGCATAATGATAAAGGGATCTTTCAAGAAAAATACAGAACAATTGTAAATATATACGCACCCCGCATAGAAGCCCCTCAGCATAAAGGCAGATGCTAACAGTCATAAAAAGAGAAATCAACAGTAACACAATAAAAATGGAAGATTTTAACACCCACTTACACCAATGGAGATAAACATCCATACAGAAAGTTAATAAAGAATCATAGGCCTTAAATGATACATTAGATCAAATAGACTTCAGTGATATTTATAGAGCACTCATCCAAAGGAAACAGAACACACTTTCTTCCAATGAGCACATTGAATATTCTCCAGGAAAGATCACATTTGCCCACAAATTAAGCCTTGATAAATTTAAGAAAATTGAAATTGTATTAAGAATCTTTTCCAACTACAATGCTATGAGACTAGAAATCAATTATGGGAAAAAAACTGAAAAAAACACAAACACAAAAAGGTAAAACAAAATGTTATTAATCAGTGGATCAGTGAAAAAAACTAAAAGAAAATTAAAAAATACCTAGACAACTGACAATGAAAACATGACGATCCAAAAGCTATGAAACACAGCAAAAGCAGTTCTAAGAGGGAAGTTTATAGCAATGCAATCTAACCTCAAGAAACAAGAAAAATCTCAAATAAACAACCTAAACTCACACCTAAACCAACTAGAGAAAGAAGAACAAACAAAACCCAAAGTTAGTAGAAGGAAAGAAATCATAAAGATCAGAACAAAATAAAATGAAATAGAGACAAAGAAAACAAAAACAAAGATCCATAAAACTAAAAGTTGGTTCTTTGACAAAATAAACAAAATTGATAAATCTTTAGCAAGACTCCTCAAAAAAAAAAAAAAGGAGGGGGGGAACTCAAACCAATAAAATTAGAAGTTACAAGGGACACCACAGAAATACAACAGTATGCCAATGAAAAGGACAACCTAGAAGAAACTGACAAATTCTTATAAAGGTACAGCTTTCCAAGACAAAACCAGGGAGAAACAGAATATACGAACAGAACAATTACAAGTACTGAAATTGAAACTGTGATTAATAATCCCCCAACAAACAAAAGTCCAGGAGAGAGAATTTCACAGATGAATTCTATCAAATATTTAGAGAAGCATTAACACCTGCCCTTTAGAAACTCTTCCAAAAAATTGTAGAGGAAGGGACTTACCTGGTGATCTAGTGGTTAAGACTCTGTGCTTCCACTGAAGAGGGCTTGGGTTCCATCCCTGGTCAGGGAACTAAGATCCCACATGCCACACAGTGTAGACAGAAAAAAAATAAAAGTAATAAAAAATTATAGAGGAAGGAACACTCCCAAGGTCATACTATGATGCCACCATACCTCTGATACCAAAACCAGACAAACATCACACACACACAAAAGAAAAACTTACAAGCCAATATCACGGATGAACATAAATGCAAAAATCCACAACAAAATAGTAGCAAGCTGAATCCAACAACATATAAAGGGATCATACACTATGATCAAATGGGATTTATACAAGGTATGCAGAATTTTTCAATATCCACATATCAATCACTGTGATGCACCACAACAACAAATTAATTTTTTTTATCTCAAACAATGCAGAAAAAGCTTTTCATAAAATTCAACACAGGTTTATGATTAAAAACACTTCAGAAGATGGGCATAGAGGGAAACTACTTCAACATAATGGGCTTCCCTGGTGGCTCAGTTGGTGAAGAATCCTCCTACAGTGCAGGAGACACAGGTTTGATCCTTGGTCAGGAAGATCCCCTGGAAAATGAAATGGCTACCCACTTCAGTATTCTTGCCTAGAGAATTCCATGGACAGAGAAGCCTGGAGGGCTGCAGTCCATGGGTCACAAAGAGTGGATGTAACTTAGTGACTGAAAACCAACAAAAGGTTTTTCATAGCTTTCTGTCTAAGGAGCAAGCATTTTTAGTATCATGGCTGAAGTCACTGTCCACAATGATTTTGGAGACCAAAAACAGAAAATCCGTCACTGCTTCCATTTTTTCCCCCTTGAGTTTGCATGAAGTGATTGGACCAGATGCCATGATCTTAGTTCTTTGAATGCTGAGTTTCAATCCAGCTTTTTAACTCTCCTCTTTTACCCTCATACTGTTCATGGGGTTCTCAAGGCAAGAATACAGAAGTGGTTTGCCATTCCCTTCTCCATAATGTCCACATTTTGTCAGAACTCTCCATGATGACCTATCCATCTTGGGTGGCCCTACACGACATATCTCAAAGTTTCATTGAGTTAGACAAATAGGAAAAGGCTGTATATTGTCACCCTACTTATTTAACTGATATGCAGAGTACATCATGAGAAACGCTGGGCTGGAGGAAGCACAAGCTGGAATCAAGATTGCCAGGAGAAATATCAATAACCTCAGATATGCAGGTGACACCACCTTTATGGCAGAAAGTGAAGAAGAACTAAAAAGCCTCTTGATGAAAGTGAAAGAGGAGAGTAAAGAAGTTGGCTTAAGGTTCAGCATTCAGAAAACTAAGATCATGGTATTCGGTCCCATCACTTCATGGCAAATAGATGGGGAAACAATGGAAACAGTGACAGGCTTTATTTTCTTGGGCTCCAAAATCACTACAGATGGTGACTGCAGCCATGGAATTAAAAGACACTTGCTCCTTTGAAGAGGAGCTGTGACCAACCTAGACAGCATATTAAAAAACAGAGATGTTACTTTGCCAACAAAGTTCTGTCTAGTCAAAGCTATGGTTTTTCCAGTAGTCATGCATGGAAGTGAGAGTTGGACTATGTAGAAAGCTGAGTGCCAAAGAATTGATGCTTTTGAACTGTGGTGTTGGAGAAGACTCTTGAGAGTCCCTTGGACTGCAAGGAGATCCAACCAATCCATCCAAAAGGAAATCAGTCCTGGGTGTTCATTGAAAGGACTGATGCTGAAGCTGAAACGCCAATAGTGTGGTCACCTGATGCGAAGAACTGACTCATTTGAAAAGACCCTGATGCTGAGAAACATTGAAGGTGGGATGAGAAGGGGACAATAGAGGATGAGATGGTTGGATGGCATCACTGACTCAATGGGCATGAGTTTAAGTAAACTCCGGGAGTTGGTGATGTACAGGGAGGCCTGGTGTGCTGCAGTCCATGGGGTCACAAAGAGTCAGACACGACTGAGTGACAGAAATGAACTGAACTTTTAATCTCATCAAGAGGCTCTTTAATTCTTCTCCACTATCTGCCATTAGAATGGTATCATATGCAAATCTGAGGTTGTTGATATTTCTCCCAGCAGTCATGATTCCAGTTCATGATTAATCCAGATTGGCATTTCGCATGATGTACTCTGCATATCAGTTAAATAAACAGTGACAACATACAGCCTTGTTGTTCGCCTTTCCCAACTTTGAACCATTTAGAAATTGTACCACATGCCACTTTAATTAAGAGCAAAGGATTGTATTTTCTTGAGTAGTGTGTTGTTACAGTGCAAACAAGAAAAAACTGTTTTCTACTCCTTCCTAGAATAGTCCTTGTGTCTCTCAAGTTTCATTTTTTAGAAATGACTGAAGACTGTGTAGCAGGCTTACTTTAAGGTTATTCAGAGGTCATGTACATGACAAAGTCCTATGCCAGTTTCACAGAATCACAAAGGACAAACAGATTCAGAGAGTAAATCTTTAAACAGATTTAATGTTCATCAGATACAGATATCTTTGGTAAATAATTTTCTCCATAACTTTGCTAAAAAGAGACCAGCCCATGCTTTCAAAAGGACTAGGGAAACTGTTTCCATTGCTGTTACAGTAGTGAGGTGGGTTAGACCCAGGCATGAGAAACTGGCATGAGGTCACATAGACTTAGTGTGAATTAAAGAAAACATTTTCTCCCTTTGAACGTCTCTCTGTAAAGTCATTTTGACTCCTCTTGAATATCACCTGTTCGCAATGGCCTTTGAGGAGCTCCTGGATAAAGTTGGTGGCCTGGGGAAATTCCAGATGCTTCAGATGGCTTTAATTTTCCCTTCTCTCATGATAGTAGTCTGTCACTCACTGTTGGAGAACTTCACTGCAGCTGTTCCTGGTCATCGCTGCTGGGTCCACATCCTCGATAATGCCACTGTCTCTGATAATGCCACTGGGATCCTCAGCCCTGATGTCCTCCTGAGACTCTCCATCCCACTGGATTCGAACTTGAAGCCAGAGAAGTGTCGCCGCTTCCTCCACCCCCAGTGGCAGCTCCTTCACCTGAATGGGACCTTCCCCAACATGACTGACCTGGACACGGAGCCCTGTGTGGACGGCTGGGTGTATGACCATAGTTTGTTCTCTTCCACCATCGTGACTGAGGTAAAGACCCCTTTACTTCTTATAAGTTTAGGTGTATGCTCAATCATGTCCTAAGCATACAGTCGTGTCCTGAGTCATACCCTGTTTGAAAGTAAAAGTTAGTCACTCAGTCATGTCTGACTCATTATGACTCCATGGACTGTAGCCCACCAGGCTCCTCTGTCCACGGAATTCTCCAGGCAAGATTACTGGAGTGGGTTGCCATTACCTTCTCCAGGGGATCTTCCCAACCCAGGGATCGAACCCAGTTCTCCCTCATTGCAGGCAAACTTTACCAACCGAACCACCAGGGAGTTCTCCTATCCTGTTTAGAGTAACATAAATTAATCGGGGTTCAAGTCTTCAATCACTGAGTAGATAATACAGCCAGCTTCCTTTCATGCTTTTTGTATGTAGTGATTGATTATCTTTTTAATTGCCAAGCACTTTATTCTTTTTAATTTATTTATTTATTTTAATTGGAGGATACTCACTTTACAGTATTGTGATGGTTTTTGCCATATATCAGTATGAATTTGCCATAGGTATACATGTGCCCCCTCCATCCTGAAGCCCCCTTCCACCTCCCTCCCCATCCTATCCCACCAGGTTGTCACAGACCACTGGCTTTTCATGCCCTGTGTCATACATCAAACTCACACTGGTTATCTATTTTACATATGGTAATAAAAAAAACAGAAATAATCAAATGGGACATTAATAAACTTAAAAGCTTTTGCACAAAAAAGGAAACTATAAGCAAGATGAAAAGACAGCCCTCAGAATGGGAGAAAATAATAGCAAATGAAACAACTGACAAAGAATTAATCTCCAAAATACACAAGCAGTTCATGCAACTCAATACCAGAAAAATAACCCAATCAGAAAGTGGGCAGAGACTGAGAACAAGATGGTGGAGGAGTAGGTGGACATGGAGTATATCTCTCTCCACGGATACATAAGGAATACACTTTCAGACACAGAAGTGCATGTAGAACACCAGTTGAGAGCAGGCAGGAGTACCTGAGCAGTGGAAAAGAATACATAGAACCATGAAAAACTTGGTAGGACAAAGGAACCAGGGGGAAAAACAGGAGTGTTAGTAGGACTGGACCTTCCCTCAGTGGGTGGGGGAACTGAAGCAGGGGTCCGATTGCCATGGCAGGGCAATTGTCTGAGTCAGAGGAGAAACATTTAAGGCTGAGAGTGAAACAGCTGATCTGTGGCAGCCTAAATGGAATGAGAATCAGACAGTCCTTGCCACAACCATACATACCCCAGACAGGAACGCTGGTCTTCTGGAAGGCACAGCAGCTGAGAGCTGGAATTTAGGGATTGTGGAGCAATCCCAGGGTGAGGGCTGCTGTTGACTGTGGAGAGACAGATGGAGGGGATGTGAGGGAGGAGATCGGGGTGGGAAACACTGGTGGAGGAAAGCCCGGCAGCCATGGAAGCAAGGCAATACTGCTGAGTCACACGTAGGGGGTGAAGCCATCACCATAGCCTCTCTCTCCCCACATGCCAGCATCGGCAGCTGAACAATAGAGAGGCTGGCTCATCAAATGCCTGACGCACTGAACTAAATTAGGACCCCACCCAGGGTGCTCCTTTCAGTCACTGATATGCCAAACTACAGAGTAGAACCCCAGCCAGGGGGGCCCCTCTATGTGCCTGACTCACTGAACAGCAGAGAAGGACCCCAGGCAAGGAAGCCCTCTAAGTGCCTGAATGGGCGGAGCTATGGAGAAACACTGGCCAAAGAGGCCTTCAGATTGCCAGCTACAAGAGGCTGGAAGAAAGACTCTGATAGGGCCATAACTCCTGTGACAGAGGCAGTCCATGTACCTGCATACTTGGCACCAGCAGGGTCCCCACAAGCCAAGCAGCCTGTGATAACTAACCCTAGGGAATATCAAGTAGTGAGAACTCACTCAAAGGAAACCACTTGAATACAAGAACCAGAATCACCCAATCACCAGTAGCACCCCATGCAGGATGCCTCACCTAAACAACAAACAAGACAAAATTCAAACCTAATCATCAGCAGACAGGATTATCACCTCACTCAGTATTGCCTTCAGAGGAAAGACAAACAAACAAAAACTCAGCACAAATCTCACCCTATACAAAGCTCACACAAACTACTGGACCAATCTTAGGAAGGCAGAAAAGAAAAGGAAGAAAGAATTCAACCTTCTTCAAGGAAAGAATTCAACTTTCCTTGAGGCCCGGGAAAAGCAGACCTCAAACACAATAACTTTAGACAAAAATAAAACCTAAAGACTAATAAACATACAAAATAAATAAATAAATAAATAAAAATAATGAAAAGGAAGAGAAATACTGCACAAATGGAGGAACAAGCTAGAAACACAGAAGTCCAAATAATGAAGAGGAAATAGGCAAAATACCTGAAAAAGAATTCAGAATAATGATAGTAAAGATAATCAAAAACCTTGAAAACAAAATGGAGAAAATGAAAGAATCAGTTAACAAAGACCTAGAAGAATTAAAGAATAAACATACAAAGACAAACAACACAATTACTGAAATCAAAAATATTCTAGAAGGAATCAATAGTAGACTATCTGAAGCAGAAGAACGAATCAGGGAGCTGGAAGATAAAATGGTGGAAATAACTTTTGAAAAGCAGGATAAAGTAAAAAGAATAGAAAGAGCTGAGGACAGTCTCAGAGACCTCTAGGACCACATCAAATGCACCAACACTCCAATTATAGGGCTCCCAGAAGATGAAAAGGAAAAGAAAGGGTATGAGAAAATTTTTGAAGAGATTATAGTTGAAAACTTCCCCAACATGAAAAAGGAAATAGTCAATCAAGTCCAAGAGGCACAGAGTCCCATACAGGATAAGCCCAAGGAGAAACATGCCAAGACACATACTAATCAAATTAACAAAGACTAAACACAAAGAATATTAAAAGCAGCGAGGGAGAAGCAACAAATAACATACAAAGGAAACTCCATATGCTTAACAGTTGATCTTTCAGCAGAAACTCTGCAGGCCAGAAGGGAATGGCAGGATATATCTACAGTACTGAAAGGAAAAAATCTACGACCGAGATTACTGTATCCAGCAAGGATCTCATTCAAAATTGATGGAGAAATAAGAAGCTTTTCAGACAAGCAAAAGTTAAGAGAATTCAGTACCACCAAACCAGCTTTACAATAAATGTTAAAGGGACTTATATAGTCAGGAAATACAAGAGAAGAGAAAAGATCTACAAAATCAACCCCAAACAATTAAGAAAATGGCAATAGGAACATATATATATATCAATAATTACTTTAAATGTAAATGATTAAGTGCTCCAACCAAAAGACACAGACTGGCTGAATGGATACAAAAACAAGACCCATATATATTCCGTCTACAAGAAACCCACTTCAGACCTCAAGACACATATAGACTGAAAGTCAGAGGATGGAAAACATATTTCATGCAAATGGGAAGCAAAAGAAAGCTGGAGTAGCAATCCTCATATCAGACAAAATAGACTGTAAAATAAAGAGGATTACAAGAGATAAGGAAGAACACTACATAATGATCAAGGGATCAATCCAAGAGGAAAACATAACAATTGTAAATATCTATGCACTCAACATAGGAGTGCCTCACTACATAAGACAAACACTAACAGATGTAAAAGGAGAAATTGACAGTAACACAATAATAGTAGAAGACTTTAACACTCCACTCACATCAATGGATAGATCGTCAAAACAGAAAATTAAAAAGGAAACACAAATCTTAAATGATACATTAGATGAGATGGATCTCATTGATATCTTCAGAACATTCCATCCAAATGCAGAAGAATACACCTTCTTCTCAAGTGCATATGGAACATTCTCCAGGATAGACCACATCTTGGGTCACAAATCAAATCTCAGTAAATTTAAGAAAATTGAAATCATATCAAGCATCTTCTCTGATGACAACGCTATGAGACTAGATATCAATTACAAGAAAAAGAGCGGTAAGAAACACAAACACATGGAGGTTAAACAACACATTTCTAAATAACCAACACGTTACTGAAGAAATCAAAAGGGAAATCAAAGATTTCTAGAAACAAATGAAAATGAAAACATGACAACTCAAAATCTATGGGATGCAGCAAAAGCACTTCTAAGAGGGAAGTTTATAGCAATACAATCCTACCTCAAGAAACAAGAAAAACATCAAATAGACAACTTAACTTTACACCTAAAACAACTGGAGAAAGAACAAAAACACCCCAAAATTAGTAGAAGGAAAGAAATCACAAAGATCTGAGAAGAAATAAATGAAAAAGAAATTATGGAAATAATAGTAAAGAATTATAAAACTAAAAGCTAGTTCTTTGAGAAGATAAAATTGCAAGCCTTTAGCCAGACTCATCAAGAAAAAAAACAGAGAAGAATCAAATCAACAAAATTAGAAATGAAAAAGGAGAGGTTGCAACAGACAATGCCAAAATACAAAGGATTATAAGAGACTATTATGAACAACTATATGGCAATAAAATGGATAACCTGGAAGAAATGAACAGATTCTTAGACAAGTTCGATTTTCCAAGACTGAACCAGGAAGAAACAGAAATTATGAACAATTACAAGCACTGAAATTGAAGCTGTGATCAAAAATCTCCCAGAAAACAAAAGCCCAAGACCAGATGGCTTCACAGAAGAATTCTATCAAACATTTAGAGAAGAGCTAATACTATCCTTCTAAAACTCTTTCGAAAAATTGCAGAGGAAGGAACACTTTCAAAGTCATTCTATGAGCCCACCATCACCCTGATACCAAAACCAGACAAAGACAACACAAAAAAAGAAAACTACAGGCCAATCTCACTGATGAACATAGATGCAAAAGTCCTCAACAGAATTTTAGCAAACAGAATTCGGCAATACCTCAAAAAGCTCATACACCATGATCAAGTTGGGTTTATTCCAGGAATGCAAGGATTCTTCAATATATGCAAATCAATCAATGGGATACACCATATTAACAAACT